GAGAAGAGCGCGCTCTCGGTATGGTCAAGACTGAGCCACTTTCCTTGGCCTTTGATTCCTCTGTTTTTGCGGATACCTTTGCCATTTGGGCTGAAAAGTTTGGAGAAGAAGAAACCAAGGATATGGTCTTGCGCAACCCAGGACTCTTGTCAGTACAACCAGTCTATGCCAAGAAGACTGATGATTCTACCATGGCCTTTTCCTACATTATTGCTGCTACTAGGCCCATTGGTGCTTTTGGACCCGCTCTCATCGTCCTCCTCGTATTGACTCCTGTCATTGAGGCAGTCACTGGAATTCCTATTCGAGAGACCCGAGAAGCTTTCTTTGCAAATCCATTTTAAAAATAAGAGAAATCCTATACCGAACAAGCAATTTGAAAATGTTTGCATTTCGCTTGAAATGATGAGACCCGACACTATATATATAATGCGCTTTCAGATATCAGGTCAGATCGAGGAGGGAGTCGTAAATAGGACCTGTGAAAGTAATTTCTTGGTTATTCCTTTTTTTTATGAGAGCTGCTTCTGAAGTACCTAGTACTGTACTGATTCCAAATTTGAAATCTCATCGGGCAATCGCTACTATAGCGTGGTCTTTATAAACAAACATTGGTAGTACCTAGTAGTCAAATCCATTGCTTGCCATCGGTCGTGTGGTGTGGTTACTTCCTACAAGGACAATAAAACGTCTCTGAGGAAGTTCGAACACGATCGTCGTGTCGACCCATCATCATTTGGCTTATTTTCTAGAAGTCTCTTGTGAATGGAGCCAATCCTAGAGCCCTGGCGTTGCTTTTCATACCTTTTCGATCTGATGCTGTACGACCTTTATGGCCACTTTCTCACCCACCAGGAGAAATAGAGCAGAGACGGGTTGGGATTTCTTGGAGATTCAGTAGCATATCTCTTACATGTTTAATCTCCTTGATGGCCGATACAAGCGCTTGCTGAGCTTCATCCTCTTCAATCTCCCCTTCTCGTCGGAACTTTCGAAATGCAATCAACACATATCCCCAAAGGAGATCTGTGCTTCGGGGTCCTCTTGGCTGGGGTCTGAAAAGGCTAATCCGTAATCACCAGGCTCTAGTAGCAGTGCAAAAAATATTTTTTCCGCCGTACTCCCTAATTTTTCAGTTTTTGTTGTACCGGTGGCAAGAAATATCAAAAACCCTTACTTGAGTGATCCAAGCCATCACCGAGATCTTGTTGTCCATATGCCACACCAGCCACAAATTTGAAATAAGGATGGTGCTGAAGAGAATGAACCCCATTCGATGGAATCTTCGTGCTCCAACTCGAGCCGCCGCAAATTATGGCCTTCTCATAAAAGCTTCCAATAAAATGCTTCCTGTGACTATGGCTGCCGAGCGAGGCGTTATCATGATGCGGTACAGACAAATGTATCCCCAACAAGTTGAAATTGACAGAGCCATACACCTATACACGCGCTATACGGAAATAATTTGTGGCCACGCAAGTAGTAGCTTCCACTGCAGTACACGTACCTGGTACCGGTTAAGGCTAGCTGACGACGCAAGAATATTTTAAAGCCCGTTGCCAAAACTGCACAAAAACATAATACTTTTAAGCTCGTTGCCTTAATTCCAAAAGTACTTCTTCGTGATTCAAAAATACTTAGCGGATCAAGTATAATTTCAAACATATATATTCAATATCGGCAACGAAAGAGAGCAGGCCATCTCAAACAAACAAATAGGCAATTAAATCCGTGATTCCCAAAGAGAGGTGCAGGGGACTATAGTAAGGCTGGCGTCAGCCAGAATATTTTTAAGCTCGTTGCCATGATTCTCGATTTTCAATTTAGTGAACCTCAAACACATATCGGAAATGCAAGATACGGTAGGCAATATCAAATTCATAATTAGGCAATCAAATCCGTGACTCCCTTAGTATTATCTGGAAAAACCAAAGAAGGCAGAGATCAAACCAAAATACAAAAGCCGCAAGAAGTCAAGTCTCCGAAGCAGCTGCGCAGTTTCCAAATTCTTTCCTGACGTCACAACAGGTGTGCATCGCAACGTTTTCTCACGCAACAGAATTTGGTTTTCGGATTAGCACTTTTCTTGTTTGCCTCACAAATTCCAAAACTAAATAGTTGTGCAATTTTGAACAATGAAATTTTCTTCGAAAGTCGTTTTGGCAATCCTTGCCGCTTGTGTCTCACACTCCAATGGTTATGTTGAGGTTCCAGGTACTAACCACTTGGGAGATAATTATTGCAAAAATGCCGACATCGAGGGCGAGGGTAGCAATCCGATTTATCATGACCTTGCCAGAGTAGACGGTCAAACCCCGTTTTCGTGCGATGAGATTTGCCGAACCAACAACGAATTGGGTGGATTACGAGGGTTTGACGTTAATGATCAAGGTATTTGTTTTTGCCACTACGACGATGGGACAAGTCCTGCAGGTTGCCCAGCTCCCTTTAGTATTTGTCTGACCGGTTTTACAGGCACCGGCGAACTTGCATTGGATAATGTCCGTGACGACTTTGAATGTTACGTATACACTACTTTTCCTGTTCCTGCTTCATTCACAACCGAAAGCACTGGCGACCCTCATTGTAAGTACTGGCTTGACGATACCAGAAGTAGCTCATTTGTTGTATACTACTCGACCTGATATATTTTGGTTTTCTCATTCATCACGCAGTCCGCACCTGGAAGAACGAGCACTTTGAGTTTCACGGACAGTGCGATCTTGTCATGACCAAGGTCCACAACTTTGCCAACAAGGAAGGCATGGACCTTGAGATCCACCTCCGTACGAACATGGTTCGGTACTGGAGCTACATCAAGACTGCCGCCATTCGAATCGGCAATGATATACTTGAAGTCCAAGGATCGGCTGCCAAGGAAGACGGCATCGACAAGCGTCACTACCACATCAACTTTGAGCACCTTGGACCTTTGACTCACCTTGGTGGCTACCCAGTCACCATCAGTCCTCGCAACAACAAGTATACCATTGATCTTAACAAAGATTATCCAGGTCAAAGCATCGAAATCAAGACCTTCAAGGAGTTTGTTGGTGTCAAGATCATTGGGGCAACCGAGGAGTCCTTTGGAAATGCCGTTGGTATCACTGGTGATTTCCACACTGGCAATACATATGCCCGTGATGGCAGTACCGTCTTGCATGATTTCAACGAGCTCGGCCTCGAGTGGCAGGTTTTGCCATCCGATGGCAAGTTGTTCCATGAGATCGCCAAACCTCAGTTCCCAGAGTTGTGCTACCTTCCGGAAGATCCCCGCGGCGAACGTGCTCGTCGCTTGGCCGAATCGGATATCACCGAAGAAGCTGCCGAAGCCGCTTGTGCCGGCCTCAAGGATGACTTTGATCGCAAGGGCTGCGTCTATGATATCTTGGCCACTCAAGATATGGACATGGTCGGTGCCTACTAAGCTGTTAGCCTATATTGTGATCATTATGTCACCGATCACTGAGGTTACAAGATCCAAAGAGTTACTAATAGGATAGATCCAACTGAAAGGATAAAAGATTAAAAAGTTTATGTTCCACGAGAAGAACTAGAGAGCATTATCGCGTTAGAGGAAAACTTGCCTCCGTTATTACCTCATCAACTATGAGCACCAATTGCCCTCGCAACAACAAGCACACCACTAACCTTGACAAAGACTATCCAGGTCAGGGCATCGAGATCAAGACCTTCAAGGAGTTTGTGGGTGTCAAGATCATTGGTGCCACCGAAGGTTCCTTTGGAAATTTCATTGGTATCACCAGTTACTTCAGGACTCGAAACGCCTATGCCCATGGTGGTAGTACTGTCTTGCACGCCTTCAATGAGCTTGGACTTGAGTGGCAAGTCTTGCCATCCGATGGCAAGTTGTTCCATGAGATTGCCAAACCTCAGTTCCCAGAGTTGTGCTACCTTCCTGAAGATCCACGTGGTGAACATGCCCGTCGCTTGACAGAATCGCACATCTCCAGAGAAGCTGCCAAAGCTGCTTGCGCCGGCCACAAGGATGAGTTCGATCTCAAGGGATGCGTTTGTGTTAATATATGTAGGCAACTACTAGGTCGTCGTCGTGACTTGGCAGTTTAAGGAATCGAAGAAAAACTGCACCAAAGTGAATGGATGCAAACATATATGGAGCTCTATGATCCCACAGTATTATCGATCGATCGGCTCCAAGGCAGGATGTCGTACCATGGCCTTTTCGATTGGAGCAGTGTGGGCACTGATGAATTGGTGGACAACGTCTCATTTCCAAACTAAGAAATTTAAGTGTAGTTCTTGGGCAAGCTTGTATGGTGACTGGTTCCATGAAGGAAGTTCCTTTTCGATAAAAAGGTATTTTGGTTGTTGCCTACATAGCCATCAAAGTCTGGAATCAGTCTTCTTCTTGAAGTTCAAATAGATAGGCCATTGCTGTCTCCTCGGGGCGATTAACGGTGTTACTGGATGGTAATGCTGAAGCTGGTTTGAAGTTTTTTGCAACAGTCGTGCACAATAGTTGCAATGTGATTTTCATTTTCTGTGCCTCCAGTACAAGGTATACCTAGTATACATTCAATATCACATGCAAGTAGATATGGCATTGTGCCTTTTGGAGCGCACCTCCTCTGTGATCTTCCGAATTTCAACGGACGGCGCGCGACCGCGTGAGAATATACTCCTGAAGCCATCGTCCGTCATGCGATAGTTTATAACTGACGGCGCAGTACACTACCTACTGTTCAGAACCACAAAAGCTAAATATGTACTATGAAAATGATTACAGAGCGGGCATGCGGTGGCATCCTTGCACTCTCACATTTTGTTTGATCGGTTGGATGGTCTGTTGAATGCAATCTAGCGAATGAACGACGAAATGTGATTTTCATTCAATGCCATCATTGGGTATTTCGGATTCCATCTACATACTAGTCTCGGCCCACAATGAACCAAACGCAAAACATTCTTCTACTAGCATTCTGCGCCATTATCTTCTCCTTACAAGCAGAATCTGCTGTTGTCGTTGTCGATGAAGTCAGCAGCAGCACGACAACGACAGACGAAGATAGCAATTTACATGGCACTGGATGGGCCACAGCTGCGCACATACCTATTGATGGCGAAGAAGAAGACGGCGAAACAGACGGTGATTTTACATTTGCGTCCATGTATTCGGAAGAAAAGAGACGAAGCATTCTTGTGGGCTTTGACTCTGCAGAAAACGAAGCGAGCTTTGTACGCAACAGACGGCAGCAGCGGTCTGGATCCGCCATTGTGGAGCACGAGTATGAATACACCAAAACAGTAAGAATGGAAGTAACTGAAGATGAATATCAGGCCATGCTTGCAGCCCAAAAGGCAGAGGACAAAGACGCGACGGGCAACGGGATTCTATACATAGAAGAAGATGTATTGGTTCGCGCAGCTTTCCCAAAGCCCAATCCACAGGCAATAAGTCAACAAAAGCCACAACTAGAACAATCGCAAGAGCAATCATATCTACGAGACAAAACTCATAGAAAACTACAAGAACGCGTGTCCTATGGTCTCGATATGGTCCAAGGGTTTGATTACATTCCTCCTGCGAGTGAAGCTCGGCAATGCCAAGTAAAGATTTGCATTGTGGATTCGGGACTGCACGTGAATCACTATGACATTCCTTACACCCGAGGGTCACCCTATGTGGACGGAGAGGAGTTTGGTCTGCCGAGCAATCAATACTGGTATAATCCAAATTCTCGAACAGACCATGGAACCGGCATTGCTGGTATCATTGCAGCTCGAGGTGGCAACGGTGCTGGAACTTTGGGCATTGTTTCGCAGGGACCAGAAGCTTCCAAAGTTTGTTTGCTGAATGCTCGTATTTTTGCCGATGACGATTACACGACGACCAGTGGATTTGTCTTGCAAGCTGCCGAATGGTGTGCGAACAAGGGTGCCAATATCATCAATCTGAGTTTGGCATCTCCGGCAGCGACCAATTCGGACCGGTATACCTACCAAGAACTCTACAATAGGGGAATCTTGTTGATTGCGGCTGCTGGAAATAGTGGTACGGACGAATACAACTACCCCGCATCTTTGGACTCTGTTATTAGTGTTGGATCCATTGGCCAAGACCGCAAACAGTCTGGCTTTTCGCAGACCAACAACCGCATCGAGTTGGTGGCACCTGGTCATGAGATCTATTCCACTTCGGGAGACGACATGGATTTTTTCACTGGCACTAGTTTTGCCACACCGTATGTGGCAGGAGTTGCCGCCAAGATTTGGGCCGCTCATCCCTACTGCAGCAACCGACAGATTCGCGAAGCCCTCCAGAAATCGGCGCAAGCCTTGGGAACCAACCCCGTTCCGACCAGTCGATTCGGCTACGGCTTGGTTCGAGCTCGGGCAGCAAACGAGTACATACAAGAGAAAATGTATTGGCCTTGTGGTGACGTTCCGGTGCCCTCACCAGGACCTACACTGCCTCCTACCAAACAGCCCACTCGACACCCTACCAGAGGACCGACACTAGGTCCCACATTCTCACCACAAGAGGGCGTGAGCAATCCAGTCGATTTACTTTCATCCAAAGTGACGGAAGGGGATCCAGATGCTCATTGTCAGGTGGAGTTGACCTATTGTGACGGAGACTTTACAACTCTGGGTGATTTGAGTATACAGGTATCGGCGGCTGGAGTCAATATCACCACGGCGACGAGAGTCGTTCGAATATGCTGCTTGGGCCTATCGTGTCAGAATATGGAAGGTCATAAACGAGGGGTCTGTGTGGGTCCAAATCACTTTAGTTCAGCTACCACTATCAGCGGCGGATCATGGTGGAAGTCCTCCTTTTTGGTGGTTCCATTATGTGCTACTGCCCGGCTGATACTCTTTGGATTGGTCTAACTAGGCTATTTCTTGCTATTTCACTAGCTTTTAAAGCAACAGCACTTGTATATTTTACTACAGCAGTATTTATTTCATGTCATGGGTATGAACAAACTGGCCGAACGAGAAGGAAGAAAGACATGGCATGATATTATTCCGCATGGATTCGTATCCAATATACATTTGTTGAAAAAGACTGCATTCGTTCTATATTCATGATCCACACGACTATCCCAAACATCCGCACACGGTAGCTTTTAAAATACTGTGCAAAAAGGTATATGCTGAATGGTAGGTACTCTTTGCATATTGATCATGTCCATCATTCCTGTCATTGAATCTATAGGAGAGAATAAGTCCACGATGATAATTGCGCATCCCTCAGCTCATCGTGACGACTACGACCGTTGAACGAGTCAGATTGCATTGTTATTGGCAACCCTTTCTTTCATATCCTTGTATCATTGTAAATACAGCAGCATATTTTATGTTGAAGCATTATTAATATAAGACCAAGTATCATTCTGCCGATACTCTACTGTAATACTCATCTGTTGTCCGTATCATTCCAATTTTGGTGGCGCAAGAAGTTTCAAAATTCAAAACGCATGACAGTTGAATCATGATCTGTCGTGTGCACATTTTGTTTTTGTCGAGTTTGGAGGCGAAGTTTGAAATTTCCATAAGTAAGGAAAAACTGCTTGTGACGAAGCACGTGCAAATGCACACCAAGAAAGCCGCACCAAGTTCAACTCCTCATAATGAAAACAAAACAATAAAACAAGAACCAAAAACGGGAACGCGATACAAGAGAAGAATTAGCAAGACACCACACTAGGCTTGTGTCACTCATCTTTCTTTTTATTCCTTTCTTCCCCTCCCATTGAGCGAGCATCAGCATCATTATGATGGTCCGACATTCTCATTCAATGATTGTACTATTATCACAAGTGCTGTTAGGCTGTCTATTAGCTTCCGTTGCTAATTGCGAGCTCTTTGATTTTTTTGACGGTGGCGTGGATCGTACCGACACTATAGACACCGCACAGCAATCTTCTTATTATAATCCACAAGAAGCTGGTGGTGGTGGTGGTGGTGATGACGAAGAAATGATCAAAATCATGGTTGGCTTTCGAGACAAAGGAGACGGAAACAATTACAAACGGAATCAACGAATGCAAAGTCGAGATGGGAGTTCCAAGTCCAAGATTACCTACGAATTCCAGAATACCAATGGGATGGCCATGGAAGTGACGAGAGCAGAGTTTGAACAAATGAAACAAGATCCTGCCTTTAGTACGGTCGAAGAAGACGTGGAAGTTCGAGTAGCGACTCCCGCGACTCCTACTGCCAACAACAACACCATGGAAGCTCACGAACGATGGCTGGCCGAAGCAAGGTCCTATGGACTCGCAATGACTCAAGCCGATCAAGCCATTCCAGTCCCACCTTCGGAATGGTCCCAATGCGTTGCTTACATGTGCATTGTCGATTCAGGAGTCTATGTCAATCACAATGATATTCCGTACAATCGCAACGATGGATATACGGATGGGTCAGCCTTTGGTCAAGCTGCGGGGGATCAATGGTGGAACCCCATCAAGACGCCGCATGGTACAAATGTAGCAGGAATCATGTTTGCAACCGGGGGCAATGATGCGGGAATGGTGGGAGTCATTCCACAACATCCCTCGCAATCCAAAGTGTGTCTGCGAGTCGCCAAGGTATTTCCGAATGGACAGGAAGTCACTTCGGTATCTGCCATTCTACAAGGTAAGCAGAAACAGTTTTTTGAGGATTGCTATTGTTCTTGGTCTGATTGCTGTTCTTATGACTAATAATATAAATTGCTACTTTGTTACATTTCCTCAGCCGTCGAATGGTGCGCTTCTGTAACCGCGCGGAACAACAAGCCCATGGTGATCAATCTTTCCTTGGCCACGGATATCAAAACCAGTACAGAAGAGCGAGTCTATCAACGAGTTTACGACCAGGGTGTGCTAATAGTAGGGGCTGCCGGCAATTTGGGAAATGCCAAAGTCTCCTACCCGGCCAGTCATCGCTCGGTAATGTCCGTGGGCAGTGTCAGTTCCAACAAGCAACGGTCTTCCTTTTCGCAATACAACGACTTTTTGGAAATTGTTGGACCTGGAACCGACATTCTAGCGACCAATGCGGATGGATCGAGCATTGGTACCCTATCGGGAACTTCCTTTGCGGCTCCCTATGTGGCAGCGATTGCCGCCAGGATTTGGGCGAGGAATCCTCATTGCAGCAACGAACAAGTTCGATCCTCTCTACGAGATAGTGCTATCCGACTAGGAAATGGAGTGCCCAATCAAGAGTATGGTTACGGACTAGTCCAAGCCGTCGCTGCCTACAATAATTTGGTCAACAAGAATTGCAACAAGCCCACACCCGCTCCAACACCTTACCCGACCACGCCACCCACTCCACCTCCAACTCCCGGGCCTACACTATCTCCATCCAAAATGCCCACCAATGTTCCTTCGATGGAACCAACTGCGGCACCCAGTATAGAACCGACGGAAACCTGTCAACAACGATTGTTTTCGTGCGAACGCGACGAAGATTGTTGTCGGGGATTGGTCTGTGCCATTGATTCCCTCGAGACGACTGAAAATTGGGTTTGTAGGGCAAGTACAGATTCGGGAATGCGGAACAAGCCACGATTGAGTCAAATGGACAATAGCCAATGTCGGGGTGGATTTGCCGGTGGTTGTTCTAAATATGATTCATGGTAGAATAGAAATGATCCGCATATGCCTGCAATCATGATTACTTTGATGAGGAGACATGAGAAAGACTTGGTGTCTTTTTTGCTTAGTGTTAAAAACGATATAGAAGATAGAATGGATTTATTAGCTAATTATTGCTTGGACAGACAACTAATAGTCCTAGGGATGCTATTCTGGTACCAGGTACCATAATGACACCAGTAGGTCCAATCCATATTCTACCCGTGCCGGTATTCGTATTGCCTTCAACCGATCCGACGAAATGAAGTACAAGATTGACTGGTCCGACTAAAGGAAAATTCATTCTTGTGAAACACATGCCGCGCGTGCTCGCACCTTTCGGCATGCACTTTTATTTTCATTTCGCCAAAAAATCCAAGCACATGCATATGTCGGGAAATAATATCAAAAGTGGCTTCCATCGTTTTTCTGTGAGACAATAATAGTAATACTGTGAAGAGAGGAGATTTGGAATACTGCGCCTCAAGCTTACCAAAGATACCATATGCAAAGATGATCTTAAGGCACACAAACTTATTCCAATTCTTGATACTGCAATGTCTCCTTCTCAGTCACTTATTATTAACTGCTCAAGCACAACAGCAAGAAGACGAAGAAGAGTATGTGCGAGTGTTGGTAGGATTTCACGACGTGCAACAAGAGAAGGAATACGTTCGTAGACAACGAATGCAGCCACGTACTGCTGGACGTCCAAAATCCAAGATCAA